TGACCTGTCATATAGTGTAGCACTTGAAACAGCTGGCCTACCGAAACTTCACGAAAGGGGAGAAAAGATTTCAACCAATCTCTTTGACGAGATAGTCCGTAACCCCACCCATAGACTCCGCAGCCTCCTCCCCCAAAGGAAGAGTTGTAGATACGCACTGAGGCGCAAAAGTGATTTCACTCTCCCCATATGCAAAACCGAGCGCTTGAAGAACAGGTTTATTTTTAGCCATATTTATAAGATGTAGATAAATTTTCTTCTTTCTTAATGACGAAGTTGTAATATTTTATACTCCTTTTTTTTATCATCTGTATTTGTAAATATTCCGTAATTCAGCCTATGGCTGCAAGGTGTTTATAATAAAGTATCTATCTATCTATCTATCTATCTATCTATCTGACACTGTCCGCATTTTCGATATATTCTGGGATGGTGTTCCTTAGCTGAGGTGCTGCAGTGGAGAACGCGCGTCCTCCATATGTTTTGGATTTTATGGCTGGAGTGCATAATACCTTACTTGTATTAAAATTCGCGCACAATGTAAGTGCGCGAAATTTCATACTGCGCCAAATATAATCCGCGCGAAAAGGTTTTAAATTAAAAATTAACTTTATTGACAACTTAAGAATTTAGAATTACACAATGTACTACGAAAATCTATTACATATGGTAATATTACAACAGTTAACAGTATCACTGGATACTAAAGAGTTTTCACTGAGAATTAGAGGTTGGTGTTTAAAAAGGCAAGTTTTCCGTTCTATTTATGCGTACACAGATTACCATCAAAAATTAGAAATAAAAATTGACTTCATCATCATCTTCTTCAACCTGAGAAATTTCTGACGGGATTCTTTCTGGTTCCATGTAATATCTCACCAGATGTACTTCCATTTTCTTATAAATTTCCAAGCTCGCTTTATTTTGGATGACTGCCAATGAAATTGGAATCTCAAGTCCAAGCCTCATTGGGGTAATGGCAACCGTCGAAATTTTGTATTGCGCACATTCGCTCTTAAATTTCCTCCATATTCAAGAAAATACTTGCAAATTCGAGAGATCTCTCGAGGCAAATGTCCAACCAGTGATAATAGTTCTATCTTGCCCCTGATTTTAGCATACACACCAATGGCATAGGGGTCGAATATGTGGCCCCGTTCCGGGTTCACTACCAACTGCTGGTTGATTCTCGGAGCCCAGATCTTTCTGTATTCGTGAAAACCGCGCGATGCACAAGCCAGCCAAAATAATGTTTCTTCAGCGCTTTCTTTCCCCGAATAAGCGTTGGTTCTGAATCACTGGTTTCTTCTTTCTCGACTTCAGCAATGATATCAGCAGATGCATACGCTTCTTTCTTGTCGCAATTGTTACATAAAGCAACACACGAACCATATATGCAACACTATCTGTGTAAATGGAATACAAATAAATTATTTTTGTCGCTGTTGCTGATTTCACCTAACTGAACAAACCATGCGACATTCTTCTGTAGTCAAACAAACAAAAAGAACTGCGTGAAAAAATGTGCCAGCAGCGGGCGGTGAAAAACTTGCTTTAGGTTTACGCGAATTCTGTGCTATTCTTTAATTGTGAAATGACAATAAGGTTAACTGCATCTGTTAACTCTAGTCAAGAAACCGAACAAGAAAAATGTCATGCGCGAATTTAAAGCTGCGCGAATAAGTCCTCTATAAGGTGCGCGAAATTAAATCGCGCGAAATTAAAACTGAGCGAAAATGAGTACCACGCGAATTTTAATACAAGTAGGGTAATGAACGGAATGACGATCGTAGATCGTAGAGTTCTTAGTGGATGATAATCCTTGATCAGAGGTTCCAAATATCCAGCAGGTTGTCCATTTAAGATCTTATATGTAGTAAGAAGAACCTTGAAGTGAATCCCTGCTTCCATAGGTAGCCAGTGCACAGGGTCGTAACGAGGTATCTGGGATCAGGGATCAAAGGCCAAAAAAAAGGTGGGATCAGGGATCAGAGCCCCGGGATCTAGGATCACAACCCCCAGGATCGGGATCAGCGGTGTTTTTCATTGGATCAAGGATCAGGCGTTCTGGATAACAAAAGGAATTCACCACGCGCACCTTAACAAGGTTTTTTTTAAAAGCTTCTTAAAAAAATTCTGGTCCATTTCATACAGTAATCCTTCGTATTTGGACTAGCTGACTGATTAATTTGTTGATAACTTCCCCGGATTTTGTTGTCTAACTCGCACTGCATGACATTCTACTTCATATAATATGTCATATAAACACGTTGGATTGCTTTCGACAGAGCGCATCTTGTTATAGGTGTAATTTTTGGAACGTAAAAGTCAACTTTTCAGATCGGTTTCTTTTTTATCCAATGGTGCAATAGGGAAAAGAAAGAAGAGAAAAGACGATGGCACACTTACAAGGTAAATTGATGTTAACTTTGCCTTACGGTTTTTTCTTGTTAAAACCAGCAATCTTTTGGCAAAATTTAATTTCATGAACTCCACATTCTTGGTCACGTTCCTGGTCGCCCAGCAGAAAAGGCGAACAACGGCATGAGCGAAGCTTAAGGCGACGTTCATCGAGCAGGTAAGTTAGATTAATGAGTTGTTACTAATCATTAAGACCAGAGTATACCTAAAAATTGTTTTTAAAACTGCAAAGAGGCCAGACACAAAGCCACGATCTGGCAATCGATAGCACCAATTTGCGAGTTACGTTTTCCTTTCCACTTCGTTTAAAATCACGTACATCTGGGTTGACCGAAAAAATCTCGGATCACTGGCTAACTGGAGCCCTTTTTGTAAGGAGGAAAGTTTAGATACCTTTGAATTCTGTGTGAATCCAAGCTAGATTTAATTTATGGCTCCCCTTTTTGTTTTCGCGCTTCGGCGTATTAAAATTGACTCAGTTCAGCTGACCGATCGTTATGTTTTCAATCGGTATTTGTATAGCTTTCTCTGAGAACCGTGCTTAAATTGAACACTTGAATGGCTTTAAAAAATTGTTCTCTCTTACACTCGTTATTCCTGTTATCATTCGAGCTGCGGTGTTCTGAATTCTTTGTAGCTTATCTCTCTGGTATTTTGGGATGTCACTCTGATATGGTACTGTTACAATAGTCAAGCCTGGAAATCACAAGGGAATTCACCAACATTTTCAATCCACCAGCAGAAGGAAGGTACTTTCGGATTCGACCAATTGATCTTATGGCATAACAAGCTTTCTTGCACATTTCGTTAATGTGTTCAGTGAAAGACAAGGTTTTATCCATGGTGACATCCAGGTTCTTGGCTTTTGTTTTCACTTCTACTGAGGTGTNAACTCGATAGTGTACGCTGTGGTGTTTACCATTTGTTTTATAACATAACATTGATACATTGTAGCTAAAGAGTTCCCTTTTATTTAACAAATCTAACGTGACCAGAAAAAACAAGCAAGCGCGGAAAAATAGTCTTTGCATTTGCTCACGTCAGCAGCGTACACGCATGGGCAAATGGGGGACGCTTAATTGACCAATCAGAGTGCGCGCTTTACTTTGGATATGTTATAAATAAATTTGGGTGTCGTCCGCAACATGGAATCGAGACCATGGCTACATATGACATCTTGGAGAGGTGCCATATAAAAAATGAACAGCAGCGGCCCAAGCCCTGGGGAACACCATACTCTAAACATCGTGGTGGAGATGTTGCATCCGCTATAGTAACTCGCTGAGATCGGCAAAGCAAGTAAGAGGAGAACCATTTAAAATATTTCCTTAACCTCGTGAGGAGAATTTGGTGATCCAGGGTGTCGAATGTTGTGGTCAGGTCAAGTAGCACAAGTATTACTCGACCGTTTGAGTCAAGAGTCTTTAGGATGTCATCGATAGCTCTAAGTAGCGCGGTCTCTGTTGAATGATATTTCTTACAAGCAGACTGAAAGGCAGGAAACAGGTCATTGTCATTCAAGTAGTTGTGAACTTGGATAGCGGCTGATTTTTCCAGTACCTTGGAGAGGAATGGTATGTTAACTGTAGGTCTCATAGTTAGCTGATAAATCAGGCTTAAGACGAGGATTTTTCAATTTTGGGCGAACCAGTGATGTTTTTAATGAGGTCGGAAAGATCCCATTTGAGAACGATTGTCTCACAATTCTGCTGACCATAGATAATACAGAACTTATGTTATCTTTAATAATATTCGTTGGGATCGGATCGAGGGAGCAGGTCTTGTTTGAGAAGGATGATATGACGTTCTTGATGGGGGCAAAAACTGAGGAAATTCACAATGGAGTATTCTTTGTTTTTCATTGGGATTGTCTGAGGAAGATTTCATTAATTCCGTTCGTAAGCCTTAAGACCAGACTTCTTGAATTTTCGCTCCAGCCTGCGTTTGTCTCGTTTAGCTTGACGTAGATTATGGCGTCATACCACGGTGCCTGTGGATGATGTCTAATCCATCGTGTTTGGATTGGTGCAAGGGTATTATAGATACCTTTAAGAGCATCATTATATAGAGAAACAAGGTCATCTAATGATCGCGTAGATGTAGAGCAGTCGATCTGTGAGAATGCATCAGCAATATCACATTGTAATTTGGTGACATCCAAGCTCTTTGTTGGTCTATATATCTTTAAGATCTTTGCAAGTGGATTGGAGTGGTTAATTTTGCAGGATATTACTCTGATCAGAGTACTTGGATATCAGCAATCAAGTCTTCTTCCTTCCTAGTTATAATCAAGTCAAGAGTGTGTCCCTGTTGATGATTAGGGCTCTTAACATGTTGTATTAGGTTAATAGACTCCAAGAGATCAGTGAATTTAAGAGCATCGCGATGATTCAAGTCATCGACATGGAAGTTAAAGTCTCGAGCAGTGAGTAGTGGATAAATGTAGTCGTCAGTCAGGTGTTCACAATTTCAAATTAATCACGAGAGAATAAAACCTTTCACTAACCGAGGTCAATTGGATATTTATTAATAAATATTACAACTCTTGGTTTGAATAGAAGGGGAAGATCTCACTTCAAACAAACTTTTGAATTCAGCGGGTGAAATACAGCTCACTAAATTGACCAATCATAGTGCACGAATTAACTGAGAGTTATGATATTTAACAGATATGATATTTAATGAGAGTTGTAATGATATGATATTTAATGAGAGTTATGATATCTTAACTTCTAAAACAACGTGGGAAATATTCATTTCAAAAGGTATTTATTTCCGTGTTCATTTACTTCATTACCCAGTGGGCTTGCTAGTTTCTCAACCTCGTTCCCAGGGCCTTATCCCTTAGTTGCGGGTAAGGCGGGAAGAGGCCCGGGTATCAGCCGATGAAACCGCCATTTTGATTGGTTGATTGACTTAAATAATTTATGTAAAAATTGGCCATTTATAGATAACTTATGCACTATTCCGAAGTCAAACCAGCGGAAATTATGTCCGTTCCGACAAAGATTTCTCCTAGAAATCCAGTTTGCAGTCTCTGCGGGGGATTTTCACGAGAGTCGTCATATGCTTGGAATATTCAGCAAAGCTGGTTCATCAAAAGATCTGGATGCAAAAGTCCATAAAACGGGTGGCATAAAGATTTCTGAGGACGATACAAGCGGTTCATAAAAGCACAGGGGGCCCATACAATCTGTTTGTGTAGCCGACCGTTGTTTTATACACAGTTGGCCCAAGCTCTGTCACAGGCTCTTTCACAGCGAATAACTAAAGAGTTTGTATAGTGGTTTAGTTGGACTTGCTTTTGAGCACCGTAAATGTAAAGTTGTGTGAAATAATCAAAGAAATAAAGTCTTACCTTCGTAGAGAGTAGTCTGTGTTGTTTCTCCTCGCGATTTGAGGCCGTTTTGATGTGTTTCAGCTTGACAGTATGTATTAGGTTTTTTAGATTCTTAATCTTAGAGGCACGTACGTATTTTGAACGAGCTCTATGAGCTCCTTGACGCTACGTGGGTAAATAAAGTATTGATTGATTGATTGATTGATTGACGCCCTAAATTACCCAGCGTGCATAAAATACGGGAAGGTCGGAAACTTCTGTTGACACATGCTCGCCAAAATCGCTCGAAAACAACACTTAAATACTTTCCCTCGAATCAAAACTCGGCAGCACGAAAGCTAAATAGTTTCCCTTTAAGTTCACCGAAAAAAAT